CCAATCTGTCAGGAAATGAACTCGGACACTGAGGTGATGGCAGGCATATAAGAACCTAGCTAGAAATGAGGCCAGCAGACAGTTACACATAAACTGCCTTTTGGTGGGACGACCAAGCCAGGCTGAGGTTCAAATCAGTGACTGACTCTGGGAATGGGCCACGGGATGGATCACTTGATGACTACCTGTTCTGTTCATTCCCTCTGGGGCACCTGGCACTGGCCACTGTCGGAAGACAGGACACTGGGCTAAATGGACCTTTGGTCTGACCCAGTAGGGCCATTCTTATGTTCTTCTGACTCAGGTGAATGGGTCCATATCTCCTTGCCGAATTGCCAGTCTTCTCCAAATACCTGATAGTCAATCTCAGCGAGTGGAGTTTTCCTCCTGGAGGCCTCTCCCTCCAAATAGGATCTCATTGCAAGAGGCGAAAACAACACAGCCTTAAGACAGCACTGTGATGCTGTAATTCTTGTATCATGTGCCTTGATTCCATGGTGATGGGCACACTAGAAATCACTAGATTAACTAGACCAGGGGTAGGTAACCTATGGCATGCGTGCTGAAGGCAGCACTCGGGTTGATTTTCAGGGGCACTCACACCGCCCGGTCCTGGCCACTGGTCTGGGGGGCTCTGTATTTTAATCTAATTTTAAATGAAGCTTCTTAAATGTTTTAAAAACCTTATTTACTTTACATACAACAATAGTTTAGTTATATATTATAGACTTATAGAAAGAGACCTTCTAAAAACATTAAAATGTATTACTGGCACGCAAAACCTTAAATTAGAGTGAATAAATGAAGACTCGGCACACCACTTCTGAAAGGTTGCTGACCCCTGAACCACCTCTTTGTTCCCTTTGAAACTGCCGAGTTCTGCCCAGGAGGGTGGCTGGTTGGATTCCCTGCTGCCAGGATGGTAGAACACATTCATCAGACAGCAAGCCATCTTAATCTAATGGTGGGACATATAATAAGTAAGCTCTACCCTTCCCCCTCAGGCTGGGACCAAAACCAGCGCAAAGGGGCCTGGATCCTTTCCAGTTGCCATCATCAGGCACTCACTGATCGTGTCTCAGTCTGAGCCAGATCTTTGTCTTTTCACTTTGCTTCTCTCTTCTTAACGATCAGCAAGGGGTCAGCCCTGTGGGGGGATGTTTGTGACTTTATTTACACATGCCCTTTTCTGCAGGCACACTGAAAGGAACTGTTAGCATTTACGGATGGGGTGGGGGGGGAGAAAACCTGGATTTGTGTTGGAAATGGCCCACCTTGATTATCATACACATTGTAAGGAGAGTGGTCACTTTAGATAAGCTATTACCAGCAGGAGAGTGGGGTGGGAGGAGGTATTGTTTCATGCTTTATGTGTATATAATAAGATCTTCTAAACTTTCCACAGTATGCATCCAATGAAGTGAGCTGTAGCTCACGAAAGCTTATGCTCAAATGAATTGGTTAGTCTCTAAGGTGCCACAAGTCCTCCTTTTCTTTTTACTGATGTGTGTGACATCCAGGTATATCCATGTAAAATGGGGGTGGGGGACCAGGCAACCTGACAATTCCAATCCAAGGCGCTTTTGAGGCTATTTTAAAATGGTTTGTGGTGCGTGTGGAAAGGAGAGTCTGATGGCATTGGCCAGAGGAAAGCAGAGTGCAGACAGGTGCTGGGCAGTCATGCCCCACAGCCCTAAACTGCAGCCCCCGCCCTACAGCTATTCCAGTTCTGGGTTCTCAGGCATAGCCCTGCCAGTGCCTCTCATTCCTGACCCACAGCCCCCACTTTGCTAATCCTGTCTGGGCTTCTCCTGAGCAGATATTGTCAGCTGTGCTGAATTGTGCCAGGCAGTGTGGTGGTACTTAGTTGCAGAAAAAATTACAGGAAGGGTTAGGTGGAGACCATGTAAGTCACTGTTGTGTGGCCCGTGGAGGGTTTGCCCTCAGGTCCTGGGCGGTCACTGGCTGTTTCACCAAGTCCTCCCCAAAGCTGGTGTCTCTCTCTCATTGGCATGTTTTCGGTTCCTATTCCTCTTTTGTCTTCTCTCCCTTTCAGTTTCCAGTAGAGCCTGTTTCCTTCCTCTCTTTCTTTCTGTCATTTGTTTCTCCCTGCTTCGTTCTGTCGCTCAGATCCTGGGAAGGCTTTTGTTTCTCAGCTCTTGCTGTGATCTTGTCAAACAAAAAAGCAAAACCCGAGAGGCAGGTCTTATCCACCAGCCGGACTCCTCCACAATGAATTTCTGTACCCTCTTATTTGCTGGGGTGAAGAGAAGGCCCCTCCCCCAACAACTCCAGCACCAGGAGAGGGGCCTGCGGCCCAGGAAGTGCTGCTGATGAGAGAGACGTAATAACCAAGTGTAGTATCTGTTCAAAGCATTTCTGTAATTCTCCTACACTGAGCATGAAGCTCTCCATAGCCTTGGGGCTCTGCACTATATGGGAGCATGAACTATAGAGAACTAGAAGAGCTGGAGGCAACTGGGTGAGCTTTGAAATCAAAGTCCAAGCAGCTGCTTCCCAGAGCACTGTTCATATGCCAGAGAAGCATCATGACTCATTCATAGCTTGGGTACTTAGGGGTAGGAAGCGGCATCCTGGCCCATTAAACTGGCTCCCCCATTCCAGGAAGCAGGCTCCTATTAACAGGGGTGGAGGAAAGTTTGAGTGCTGGAGAGGGAGAAGATTCCAAATATTACCACTGTCGTGCAGTGTGCAAGTTAGTTTTGTTTTCTAGTGGGAGAAGGACGGTGAGGTGTCCCTGATATCCCAGCATGCAATGCATGCAACCCTTTCCCCTTCATTAGCACTTTCCAGCTGATGGCCTGAAGGTGCATGAGTGACTGGAGCCTCCCTAGGAGATAGGACAGTGTTTTTAACTCCATTTTGTAGATGGGGAAACTGAGGCACACAAAGGGTAGGGACTGGACCCACGGCCACACAGTCAGGAATAGAACTGAGGAACCCTGGCATACATAACTGCTTTAACCGCCACATCCCAAATGGACATGCAAGTGTAAGGCTGCTGTTCCCAGCTTCAATGAGAGGAGCAGGGTGGTAAGACAGCTTCCTGGATTCTGTATGTTTGGCTTCCTCAGCCCCTCGGAAGCTGCCTTGATGCAGGAATTGCCTCCCTTGCAGCAGGTAAATATGCATCGAGGTGCAGCCCCTGCTATGCTGCGGGAGCAGCCAATTTGTCACCTGTTCAAATGGGGAACATCGGAGGTGATTGGTACCTGTCTGGTTTGGGGAGTCGGTGAGGCTTGGACCTGTGTCGCCTGGAGGGACAGACAACTTTCCTTGTTAGTATGAAGTCTGGTAGCTCCAACCTTCAGGAAAGACCTTAGGGCATCAGCTGGCACATGAGTGGAGCTCAGACAACAGCCATGAGCAGGAAGTTCCAGACTGTCCCTCCACAGCATGGCACCCGGGCAGCACCTATTCCAGTGCAGAGTATCAGGACTGGAGCAGTGTACTGGGTGAGGAGGCTGCCTGGGGTACCTGTGCAAAGAAAAGGTGTGAAATGGCCAGCACACTGGAACTGGTCCATTCTGTTATTTACATGGCGTTCCCCTGCCGTTTTCTTCCCCTTTCCTTGGGATCTGCAGGGGGCAAAGTAGTGCTGCCCTGTGCGGTTATTGTCTCACAATTACACCATCAGCAGCCAGTCTGACTGTCCCTTGAGTCTTGCCCATCTTGGAGCAATCAATACAAAGATTTTGGTGGTTTTCAGTCATTAAAAGCCAGCAGTAATTGACCCCTCCCCCTCTGCCCCCCCGGGGCAGCCTCAGTAGCAAGCCCGAGGACTGAACACCCCAGGGAAATGGGCTCCCCTTTGACCTGTAGAGGGGTCCCCCCAGGGTGGTGATTCACGGGCTGGCTCCTTTGCTGTCTGTGCCAAGTGCTGCAGACGATAACCCGGCAGGTGACATGGGGTGGTTTGCTCTTGCTTCTAATTGACAAAAATTAGCAACAATAAACATCTCCCATGCATCCGATGAAGTGAGCTGTAGCTCACGAAAGCTTATGCTCAAATAAATTGGTTAGTCTCTAAGGTGCCACAAGTCCTCCTGTTCTTTTTGTGAATACAGACTAACACGGCTGTTACTCTGAAATCTCCCATGTTCCATCCCATCTGAAAAGCTGCAGAAAGCGATGACACAGGTTCCTCACAGCCCTGGGGCCTGCTGACTTGAGCTCTGCCCTGAAGAGGGCCATGATGTCAGTTGCACCCTAGGTGGCGGGGGAGGCGAATGTAGCCAGTTCTAGCTCACGGCCACCCAGCTACTGCAGTGTTCTCTCTCTGGGGAGGCGATCACTGTGCAGGGACAGCTGGTGTGCATCTGAGCCTGATCTAAAGCCCACTGAAGTCAGTGGGAGAGTTTCCATTTGGATCGCAGCCTCACTGACCGGACCGGCTCTAGGCACCAGCAAAGCAAGCACGTTCTTCGGGCGGCACAATTCCAGGGGCGGTATTCCGGCCACCCTTTTTTTGTTTCTTTGGGCAGTTGCATTCTCGGAGCTTGGGGCGGCAAAAACCTAGAGCTGGCCCTGCTCACTAAGGGTGTGAGGAGGGGAAGGGTACCTCGTGTCAGTCAGTACCATTAAAAGTGACCAAACACCATTTCAGAGCCGGTGAAATTACGGACACACTTGTGGAACCAATCCAAACTTTTCACTCCAGTTTGTCCCAGGCATTTATTGCTAGAGGATGTGAAACCACAATAAACAGGGAAGAGTCTCTGGAGCCAGAGCACTTTGCTACATAAAAATAGCATAGTGCTAAAGCCAGGGCAGCCCCTGTGCTCCTGCTTCCGGCACAGGGGTGGTTACTCTGAGTTACGTGGCGTCCCCTGTGAGCCGGACCGCATGTCTGGTGACGAGAAATCATTACAAATTACAGACTTGGAGAGACTGGGACCAAGTGAGCCTCCTAAATGCTGCCCGACTATGGGTGCTCTGTGCTGTGTGTGACAAATAATGGCTGACTTTTCCATTGCCAGGAAATGAATCACTGAGGAGACCAAACCAAGATCTAGGAAGCTGCTGGAAGACTGATGCATACTAACTTCACTATCTAATAGTCTGTCCAGCCGTTACTAACCAATGTCAACAACTAGGTAACAAACTGCCTTTATCTCTGTCTGCCCCTTGCCCTGGGGTCTGGGATCAATGGATAGGAGTGTTAGTTTCCCACCCGCTGGAAATTGTGCCTCAAAGAGGTAAGGTAGGACTTAGGCTCGCCACCCCCACACATGAGCTGTGTATAAGATGCAGCATGTGTTAAGAGGAGACCAGGGACTTGGAGGCTCATTAGGAAAATACATCCGGGGCGGGCTGGGCGAACTGACCAGAGGGAAATCCCAAAGCTCCCTTTAGAAGGAGCAGGCTGGGATCCCAGGGTCAGCATCATGTGCGGCTGTGCATGTGATCTGAGTCCAGGGTTGGGCAATGAGAAAAGAGCCGCAACTGGGGAGTACAGCGTACAGCCTCTCAAGCCTCGGCGACAGTAGTGGGCTTGGCCCTTTCTGGATGGAAGGGTAGGTTGGCTCACTGCAACAGGGAGGCCTCGAGTGGGGGCAGGAAAGTAATTTTCTGGGTTACAGGGGTCACATCTGGGCCGCACCAGCTGTTTTCATGCCTTGGAGTCTAGGATGTATCAGCTCGAATTCAAGTTCACCCGCTCAGCTCCTGTCTGCAATGGCCAGTGCCTGAGGTTTTAAAGGAATTCCGAAAAAGACCTCGAGCCCTAATGCACCTGGCCTATTGTGTCACAGAGACAAGTGCCTTCCTGCCGTGCTCAAGTCATGTCCTGAAGCCTGAGAGCTGGGTTTAGCTTGTATATTACTGGTCATAAAATCCAGCCCCGGCTTGTGGCTCGCCAGCCTTCTGCAGCAGCTGATTCCATGCTCTGGCTGTGGTAAAGTGTTTCCTTTCATTCATTCTTACGTGACCTGCCTTTAATCCCATGATGTGACCTTTGCTGCAGGGTGCTTGTCCCGCGCATAAGCCTTGGGAGGAAGAGACATGCTGAAGGGGAGACATTTTCTGTGCTCAAATCCCCAACCCCACACTCTGTTCAGGAGCACAAAGTCCCAGACCCTACAGGAAGGAGAGTTGGTGCAGCGGCAGGGACTCACCACGAACTAGCTGCTATGGTGCTACGTGTACTACATTCAAATCAGGCTCCAAATAATGTGCCCCCCCAGCTTAGCGTAACTCCCCCCGCAGACTACGCTGCAGGGGCCCCAGCATGTTAGAGCCTGGGGTCCTATGCCTGCATATGTGACACACTGACGCTGAGGCCTGCCCTGTGTTATTGCGGATGTGACATCTGATCTTGTGACTAGCTGGAGAGTGGGGAGAGGCCACGGGTGGCAGGGCAGAGCCCTAGTAAACTTAGCTGGGGTGGGCTCTGCAGTGTACGTGCTGCTGGCTGCCATGGCTGACGGAAGGGGTGGAGGAGGTGGCAAAAAGGGCTACAGGGCCTTTAGTTTTCTTCTCACTGGCATCAGCTAAGAGCATCAGGGAATGTCTGTGTCTCAGGCCCTCTTCCTCTGGAGAAGTACAAAGAATCCCAAAGAGGGAGAAGCCTGGAGTGGGAGCCCGTAGGAATAAGGGGTGACCGGGGTGAGTGGGGGATGCTAGAGCCTTTCCAAGCCTGGGGGTGAAGAGTCGCCTCTCCTTCGGCTGAGCCACACTTGGCTGGAGGGTGCTCATTCATGGTGTGCTCCCCAGAGGTGCTGGCTCAGCGGGAGCTGGGGGTGCTCAGCACCTCGTGTCCCTGGAGAGGAGAGAACTAGCAGAAATGCTGTGTGCTTTGCAGAGTGCGATGCAGATGCCAGGAAGCCGGCTCACTTCCCAGACTGCGCTCAGCACCCCCGGCTGCCTTAACAGTTCTGTTCGTTCTGTTCCAGGGAGCAGCCGATCTTCAGCACTCGGGCCCACGTTTTTCAGATCGACCCAGCCACGAAGCGGAACTGGATCCCTGCCAGCAAACACGCCCTGACTGTCTCTTACTTCTACGATGCCACGCGCAATGTGTACCGGATCATCAGCGTGGGCGGCACCAAGGTGAGGGCCCCACGCAGCTTGTCAGCAAGCTTCTCTCGGGCTGGGATCACTGAGTGCTTCCTGCTTCCCTCAGACACCATGCTGGGCAGCCCTCAGAATGGAGTGCTCCAGCATCTCCACAACTGGGCGTGGAAAGTGTTACAGCCAGTTTCTTCACGCTGATGTAGTTACTATCCAAGGTGAATTTAGTGCTGGTGGAAAGACAGCGCTGGGACTGATAGCCCTATGCACAGAGCATGCCCAGCACAGGGACTCACTTCCTCCCACCGGTGAGCCTGGCCTTGTGGCTGGGGGGACCCCTCTTGGCCTCTGAGGGCTGCTCTGGTCCTTCTGACCCTTTTGGCCTCTCTGATGATGCCAGTTGTGGGGCAGGTTTTGTGGCATGCCCTAGACACAGGACCCATTCATGTCACATGGCCTGTCCGACTGGAAAGACTTTTGCTCACTGGTGACTTGGGCTGGTGTCCTAGAGGTAAAAGGCTCCTGTATAGCACCATGATGGGTGAATGATAAATGTGAGGGAATTCCCAGAGCCATCCCGCGCTGTAGAGCTTTGGAGAATACAGTCCATCTTGCAGAGTACAGCAATTCCACTTTGACTGAGAGTCCCCATTCCTTCCCCCCACAGGCCATCATCAACAGCACCATCACCCCCAACATGACCTTCACAAAAACCTCCCAGAAGTTTGGACAATGGGCGGACAGCCGAGCCAACACAGTATACGGGCTGGGCTTTGCCTCGGAGCAGCACCTCTCCCAGGTAACGTTGCAGGGCCTGATGGCAGGCTGACCCACCCAAGCAATGGGTGGGAGCTGGGGGGAATCGCTACATAATCTAATCCACCAGGAATGCCAAAGGAAGTATCCGATCAGGTGTCCATGCTCTGAGGAGGAAGGGTCTGGGAACAGAATCAGGTACAGTCTGATCTGGTGGGGTGTGGAGCCGGGAAGCCCTGAAATGTTCTGAGAGACAGAATGAATGTCAGAGTCACATTTTCACATGTGCCAGAAGTAACATTTTAAAAAGTGACATAGGCTGCTAGAACCCAGATCCTCACAGGTATTTAAGCTCCTAACTTTCACTGATTTCAGTACCCTTGAGGACCTGCCTGAGTGTGTAAGGGTCTGTCTACACTGCAGTCAGAGGGGCAACTGCAGCATGTGTAGACACACCTGAGCTAGCTTTGATCTGTCTAGCTCAAGTGACAATAGTAGTGACTCCTGTACAGCCCTTCTCAGGCCCCGGTCTGTATTCATGCAACTTGGCCATAGAGGCTGGAACGAGGGGTGTGGTGGGTGCTGCATCATCCCCTGGCTTGAAGTGGTTCCCATCATATACAGGGTTTACAGTTTGGGTCCATGGCTCTCAGCACCCCCACTATACACATTGTTTCAGCACCCCTGAGCTTGGCCATCCCGCTGGGCGCTGGCAGGATCAAAGCACACTCAGAAATGTCTACAGATTGCACTTAGCCACTTCTGACAACTTTACTGAACACATATGTACGGCATGGGCACCCTCACAGCAAGGACTCAACTCCACACACCCCAGCCCAGCAGCCTGAGCTCAGTGGAAAAGCCAGTGTGGACTCTGGGTCCTGGTCTGGGATGGGGTGGGGCCGTTCTCTGGACATTACCGCTAGGTTGGGGAGGAAGCAAAAAACATGCCAGATCCCTGGAAAGAGGCAGAGAGAGGGAGAAATAGCGACAGGAAGAGGGAAGTAAACCCTAACGACAGTTCTCGCTTTTCGGACGTTTCTGTAAGACAGTAGAGTGACCCTCTCCCCATCTCCCCCCTGCCCCTCCTAGTTTGCAGAGAAGTTCCAGGAGGTGAAAGAAGCAGCCCGTTTGGCAAGGGAAAAATCGCAGGATAAAACGGAGCTGACCAATCCTGCCCTGAACATTACATCTCACCAGGTAACTTTGGCAGCTGGGATGGGGCTGCTAGGGAAAATGGTCACCACCCCATTGTCCTCTGGCAACAGGGGCAGAGCCCATCACTTTCCACAGAGCGCTAGCCACCATCAGGAAGGGCCCTGAATGCAAATCCCCATGGGAGGCATCGGGCACTGAGCCAACCGGCCTTCGCAGTTCCAATCCCTGTCACATCTACAAAAGCATCTAGAAAAGGACTCCCGCGTCTGCGGAGAATGGCCCGTGCCAGGGCTCCCCTGGGTGCATTTCATTAAGGTAGTGCTGATGGAGTGGAGTAGTCGATAGCCAGCCCTCCACTTTTCTCTCCCCTGGAGACCAAGCCTCCCTGGTCTCCCTGGCACCATGTTGAAAGCTTGACCTGTCTCCCTAAACCAGCCTCCAGTGCCTGCTGGACGGAGGAGAGAAGACGAGCCGTGGTGCATTCTACCCCTCTTCTAGCCACGGCAGCTCTTCAGGAGCTGTGCACCCTGAGGGTGCATCCCAGAGGTGGCTGTGCATTTCCCTGATCTCCTGGCAACAGGAGGGGAGCTGGGGGATGAGGACACTGCGTTCTCTGGGCTGAGCACAGATGGAGCAGCAGCAGAGGAGGAGGAGGCAGTGCGAACAGCACCTTGGCCTGCAGGAAAAGGAGGAGGAGGAGGAAGCTCTGCGGAGACTGGAAATGCCATACATGATGGAGCAAAGGGAGAACTCTCTCCAACGAGGCTCCCATTCTCTCTCCCTAAGGGGTGGGAAATGGGGAAGGGAATAGAGAGCAGAGTGGGGGCAGCAGAGCCAGCGCCCACCGAAGTGATGGGTCATCGTGTGAGAGCTCCAGGGGCCAGTCTGGGATCGGTCAGTCATGGGGAGGGCTCTGCTCTGCACACCAGGTAGAATGTGCCTGTGTGTACTGGGGACAGAACACTTCCAGCACCTCGGTGCAGGCTCACAGCGCAGGGCTTAAAGCAGCTGCTGGTTCAGAACAGCTCAGTGTAACTGCAGCTCAGGAGAGGGTGTCAGCGACTCTCCTCTCGCTCCCTGCTGCCTATTCAACTCAGCAGCACTAAAACAGGACCAAGGCAACCTGACCACATTGGCTACTGCTCTGAAGGGGGGTGGGTGCAGGGGGCACTGGGCAGGGGGCATGTGGGATGAGGCATCGGCCCTTTATGCTTCCTTCTCATCTCTCCCCCTCTTCTGTGCGTGGGAGGGAGGAGGCAGAGGCAGTGGGCAGCCTTCCCCGCCAGCCTCGTGCAGAGCACCAGGTCAGGGCCACCATTGTTACAGCACACAACTCGCTGACAGCCTGGTCTGCTGCCTCCGTGTGCTCATACCACGCGCAAGGCCATGATACCAGTGTCTGGGTGGGGGAAGTTGTGTCAACTGGCCAGGTGCATTGTGGGCAAGGTCACCTTCCTCTGCACCATCCGAGATTGACTGCTGCTGGAGGAGGACTGGAAGGATGGAGCAGGCAGGTGGGGAGAATTATCTCCCCTGCCGCATCCGCACCCCCCCCAGCCACAGAAAGGTGGGCTGCTCCTTCCTCTGCAACGCTTTGCATGTCTAATTCCCAGCTCTGCCTTTGTAGTGCTTTGCTTCATCGCCTGAGATCCGGGCACCCAGCCCTTCCATCCATGGAGCTATACATGGCTCTCCCCGGCTCTGCTCCTTTGGGGAGTGCAGCTGGCTCTTTGGAATTTGAACCCCCACCTCTTGCTGCAGGGCGCACGTCGCCCCCTACATGTCACTCAGCCTCCAGTGCTTAGTAAAACCTGCTCTGGAGACAACACGGGGCCTCATTCCCCTCTCACGCCAGCCTCAACCGGGGGCTGCCCCATTGACTTCAGAGACGCTAGATCAATGTAAAGCTGGGGGAAGTGAGGGGAGAATCAGGCTGCCCTCCTCCTCTGTCCGGTCTGGCACTGGCAGGCACTCAGCAGGCCTGGGCCTGGGAGCGTGCTGGGCGCTGCAGTCTCTGAGATAGAATGCCCTGTCAGCTGAGCTAATGCTGCTCTGGAAATGGTACATTTCCATGGCAGGCGACTGATACTCCAGCTCCCATGTGAGGGATTAATATCCCACCTCCTGCAGCATCACATGCTCGCCCCCGGGGCGACCACTCGCAGCACAATCTTTGGGTTTGCACCCCTTGTCAGGGCGTAGCCCCACCTGGGGCAGCTGCTGCATTACAGCGAGCCCGGTAAGGCAGGAGAGATCTAGGGAGAGAGCCGTCTACACACACAGCCCATAACCCTACTGCCTGTCTGTATACACACACCCGCCCCATCGCTAGGCTGTATGCACACACTTGCATTGCCCCTCCCATGCCCCACCAACCTGCAGGCATCTGCACACACACCCTTTCCATACTTCTCACTGTGTGCCTGCACACACATGCACCATCCCATACACCTTGCTGCTTGCCTGTACAGACACATGCTCCCTGGCCACTGCCAGCCAGGACACACACGCTGTCCTGCACACCCCTCCACTGGCCTGCACATACACACCCTTCCATACAGTCCATCGTTGGCCTGTACACACGCACCCTGTCCTGCACGCTGCTGCCAGCCTGTACAAACACCCTCAGATGCCCTCTTGCTGCCTGCTGTTTTTGGGTCTTCACACGTAAATAACTGATTGATCCGGCCTCCCTGGTTCCCTGTGTTTCCCTCAGCTCCAGCGTCCTTAAGCTTCAGACTTTCAGAGCTGTGGATCTCAGTTTGCAGCAGCCCTCCTCTTAGGGGCCATTTACCTGTCCATCATGTCCTGCTTCCACAGACCCAAGGTGTCTCGAGTTGGGCGCCCCACAGTGCGAGGCCCCTAAAAGCAGGGGGCAGTTTTGAAAATGTCCCTAGGTGCTGAGCACCCTCAGCTCCCATTCACTCTATTGGAAACCAGACTCTTCCCCTTCCCCTGCCTCAGTTTCCCCATCTGTAAAATGGGGGTGATAGATAAGTGGGCAGGCAGGCAGGGGTGTGTGTTTATAAAGCACTTTGGGATCGTGACATTCCTAGTCACCCTTCTTGGTCAGCGCCTTTCTCTTCAGGCCTCTCCACACACAGGGCCCTGTCTTGCTCATTTACAGGCATCAGCAGATTCCTAGGTCAGGTGGTTGTCCTTACCCTGGAAAGTCACTGAGATCAGGTGTCTGGGTGTTTGTGGGCTACCTATAAACCCTGGAGGACTCCACTGGTCCCAGGACTGGAAGGAGAAGTCTCAGCCAATCCCAGACTGGGTGGGCTTTGATGTCTAGCACTCAAGCTGTCTTTTTATAGATCAGTTTGTAATTTCTGTGCCTACTTTCTTCCCTGCTGTCAGCAGACGTGCAAGGAGCTGGGGGCTCTCAGGTGGCTGCGGGGTATAGAATCTGCTTGTGCCGCCTGCATATACATTCCTGCTCTGTGGTGTCTATTCTCCCCAGATAACAATCTGGAAGGATCTTTTGATAAATCCCATTGATATTCTGTCCTGATGCAAGCAGGGAGCGACAGTGCCATGGAGCAGGGAGTGCACTCTGGGGCAGGGACTGCATCTCCCTTGCGTTCGGAAAGCGTCTAACGCCTGGCGGGCACTACTACAGTATAAGTGGCTCCTGCCTTCTCCATCTCTGGCCGTCAGGGGCTCCCTTCTTGTCCAAGCTCACCGCTCACCTGCTAACCCAAGGAGCAGAAACTAGTCTGGGCAGCTGAACTCAGGCGTCCTACCCAGCAGGCCAGTCACTAGCCATGGGCCCCTGCAGGATCCACAATCTCCATCTCCCTGACAGGTTTATAGGTTACTATGTCTTGGAGCCACCCGGGGAACAAGGCAGATGGCAGAGGGGTGGGGCAGCAGGGCCTGAACCCCTGAAGCCACAAGTTTGGGGCCAAAGAATTTACCACCTTAAAAAAAATGCACATAAAGAGCGAGGAACGCCTGGTGAACTCATCATGGAGCAGCTGGGCTCTGAGTCCACCAGCTCAGAGATTTTTGTGCTAGGACTCCTGCCAGAGGCACAAGGCGTCACTGCGGGCTGGGGCAGTGAATACAGGAGCCACTAACCAGTGTGGAGAGGGGCTTATTAATATGAAAACAAACTTGTGCCTCTGTCATCCATCCATCTATTCATCCATCCCCCCCTCCATCCACCTATCCATCCCTCTATCCCTCCATCTGTCTATCGCTCCCTCCATCCATCCATCCCTCTATCCCTCCATCCATCTGTCTATCCCTCCCTCCCACCCTCTATCTATCCATCCATCCCTCTATTCCTCCATCTATCGCTCCCTCCATCTATCCCTCTATCTATCCATCCCTCTATCTATCCATCCCACCATCCATCCATCCCTCTATCCTTCCAACCATTTATCTATCTCTCCCTCTATCTATCCATCCCTCCATCCATCTATCCATTTCTCCCTTGGACCTAGTTTGTGTGTCTGTCTGGCCAAATATTTTGCCCATCCTTTGGTGCCTTGGGCATCAGTGCTGGTGTCAATCAAACAAAGAGACCAGGTGGGAAGGAAGCACACACCCCTCTCCAGTCCTATTCCAGCCCCTTCAGCATCCGTCTCTGGAGATTCCCACACCTTAACCTCCACAGTCTAAAGCCCAGCAGCCTTTGGCAGCCTTCCTGGAGCTGAGATGGGGATCTCTCCGTTCAGCGTCTGTTGATGTCATGTCTAGGCAGGCCACAGGGGTTGCTGCTTGTGATATGAGATGCTCCATCCCCCCCCCCCCCAGGAGCTGAACGGAACCTGGGGTCACCCCACAGCAGTGCAGAGCACTGACCTACAGGGCCCCACACCTGAGCTCTTCTAATGAGTCAGCCTATGTAAGACGCTGGGTGACCACATGTCCAGAGATCTGCCTGATGCATGGTAACCCCCCTGCAGGTGCTGCCCAGCACCGTCATCAGCTCCAATGGGCCGGGAGACGATAAGCTGTTCCGGAGCCAGAGCGCTGACGTCGAGATAACAACGGAGAAGGAGCGGCTGAAGAAGATGCTCTCCGAAGGGTGAGGCAAGGGCCTAGCTGGGGCTTTCAGGTCCCAGCCCAGCTGCTCAGGGCACTCTCAGGTCCAGTCCCCAGCAGGGAAGGGGGATCCCAGCATTTCCCATCCAGGGAGGAATTAACTCTTCCTGTCTCCCTGGTCCCCGGCTAACACTGTTGCTCCCACAGACTCAGGGTACAACCCCGGGACCCCCACCATCTCAAGCCTAGTGCTCAGGGCAGGACCCTTTTCTGTTCTCCTTCTGGCTGCATGCTGCCCCTAAAAACCCACTGCTGCCTTACATGAGGACATAAGAACTGCCATGCTGGGACAGACCCATGGTCCATCTAGCCCAGTATCCTGTCTTCTGACAGGTTTCAGAGTAGCAGCCGTGTTAGTCTGTATTCGCAAAAAGAACAGGAGTACTTGTGGCACCTTAGAGACTAACAAATTAATTTGAGCATAAGCTTTTGTGAGCTACAGCTCACTTCATTGGTTTGTTAGTCTCTAAGGTGCCACAAGTCCTCCTTTTCTTTTTGTCTTCTGACAGTGGCTGGTGCCAGGTGTTTCAGAGGGAATGGACAGAACAGGGCGATTATCGGGTGATCCATCCCCTGTCGTCCAGTCCCAGCTTCTGGCAGTCAGAGCCCCCATCCATACATCCCTCCCCATTCCCCCACCAGGGGATCGCTGCAGCTCAGGGCTGAAGCATTTTGGCCAAGCAGCTTGTACACACAGTGGAGACGAAGGGAGGGCTCTGCCCCAGGTCCTTGGTCTGAGGTGTCCGGTGTTCACACCTGTCTACCTGGCTCAGGGCTGGGCTGGTGGTAATTCTCCTGGGGATTCCAGGCAGATCCTGTCCCTTTCTCTTTTGAAGTCTTTGGGCTGGATTCTGCCCTGGGACTGCCTGGCGTGGGGGTGGGGAATGACAATGTTTGCATGTTAGGAGGTGTTTGAAGCTAAGTGTCATTTGACCCCCACAAAAGCCTCTGGGGTTTAGTTTGGTTCCATTTAGTCACTTTACTGCAACGCAAACTCAGAGCCAGAGCAGCTGGGTGGGTTCCAAGCCCCAGGCTGCAAAGCCCCTTCCTGGCAGCTCAGCCTCCTTGCCGTGGCTGCTAATCTGGCAGGGGGACATCCCCAGCTCCAGCGCCATGCAAGCATGTTGCTCCCGAGCAGCTGAGGCATCCTGTCAGCTGCTCCTCTGCTACGGCGGGAGCCATGTGGATGGTCGCTCATCCCCTGCCCCCCTCCCGATTCCCAAAGCCAAACATGGCAATGGCAGGAAACAGACACAGGCTCCGGCCTGGCACAAGTGTCTAGATTCAGGAAGTGAGATCGAGACCAGGTTGAAAGCAGCCTGGGCGGCCGTAGCAGCCCCATCCCTTCTGCCCTCTGGGAGCATGTGGTCACCACTGACCCATGGATCAGGGAGAAGACCTGGGGGTCCTGTAGGTCAAAGCCCTGCCATAGAGATTAAAGACAAGACTCTCCATCTACGGGTCGTTTAACCCAGCCCTGGCTGGCGAGGGAGGCTTCTCCCCAGCCACATTCAATGGCACGTCCCAGGCGGAATGTCAAGGGGGAGGACAGTTAGGCAGGGCAGCAGTTTGCCCAGGAGGAGGCCATGTCCCTGTCGCCAGCAGACCTGCGCTTCTGACGGGAGCTTGCAGTGTTTGTCTTTTGTTGGAACTCACCATTGCTCAGCGCCGAAGCCATGGTTTCCAGGACGGCCTCCTTGGTGTTCTGAAGGACACCAAGGCTAGGCTAGAGCAGCCCCTGGATGGGCAGGGTCACGGTGGCCTGAGGTCCCATCCCGCGGGATTGGCTCTGATTAGGGCATGTCTGTGTTGGGCATTGGCTCTTCAGAAAGCTGCCCAATGGGGGAAGGGAGGCCTCTCTGCTGAAACACCCCCAGGGGAGGAGAGACCTCTCTCCCTGCCTCTCACTCCCGGCTTGTGGTTCCCTGCCCCCTCCTGCAGCTCGGTGCCCGAGGTTCAGTGGGAAGCTGAATTCTTCACCCTCCAGGACAACAACAACAAGCTGGTGGCTGCCCTTCAGGAAGCCAACGCCAGCGTGGAGCAGTGGAAGAAGCAGCTGGCCGCGTACCAGGAGGAGACAGAGACGCTGCAGCTGCGGGTGAGCACAAGGAATGGGGCAAGGCGGCACCCTGGTCTCAAATCTGCTTGTGGGCCACATGCTTGGGGTGTCAGTGGGAGATCGGCTGCAGATGAAGGGTTCTACCTGGGCGTCAGCGGGTTACGGCTGTTGCTATAATGGATCAGATCACTGGGCCATTTAGCCTGCTGTCCTGCCTCCTGTTTGCTGGTGATAGGTGAGGGCTCCAGAGAGTTAGATCCCCAAACTTCAGTCCCCTTCCTAAGAGCCCAGCAGGATGGGACCTCGCATCAGACTGGGGGGTCAGTGAGGACAGCAGCTTCAACAGCTGTTACTGAGCATACTCAGTACAAGCCAAGCAGTGACTCCGAGGGGACATGTGACCCCACATGCCCCCCCGCCCCACGTTGCCTCTGGACAGCATTTATTAAGGAGCCAAAGATAATGCTGCTGAGTGACAGCAGGTCCTGCTCCCCTGCCCTCCCTTCCTGCAGGATGGCTGGTACAGCAGGGTGGGGGTGGGGAGGAGAGCATGTGGGAGTGTTTCTCTCTCACTCCTGTTGCCTGAGGTTCCCCAGCTGCCACCCGTGATGAGTGAGGGCTGTGCTCCCTGTCACATTCACCTCCTGCCCCTGAGCCATGCACCTGGGCAGCTGTCTGGCCTGGCAACAGATGGGGTGAAAGACACTCACACTGCTAAAATTAGCTCAGAGCAGAACAGCAGCGGCGTTGATCCCGACAAACAGGCCCTTGTATCCTGCCTTTGGTGGAACAATAGGGTCTGTTGACCTAACTAGTGGGGGAGAGATCCCGCATCAGCTGTGCCTGCGTCAGGGTCAGGGCGGAGGAGTGGAGAGGAGTTTTGGGAAGGCAGCTGCGGGAGTCTTTGCAGGATTTGGTTGGGAAGGGACTACAGAGCCCTTGCAAAGGGGTTGTGGAGTCTTTTCGCCTCTAGGCCAGTTTGGGTTACATGCAGGTCTGAAGGAAGCAGCCGTTGTTCCCAGGCAACGTAGGGCTGTTCAGTAGTCCCATTAGGTGATGTGTTGGTGGTTTCCAGCCCAATACCCAGTGAGCATCCCAAAGAGAGTCTCAAGGCCTGATACTAATTCTCAGCAGAAACACCAAGGACTGAATAAGCCACAAAGAATGAACTTCCCTCTCGCCCCTAGAGGACGCCCTGCGAGGCGTGGCTGGGACACGTGGCAGAGGTGTGCGCACGTGGGTGGTGGGAGAGGGAAGTTTGCGTCGCCCGCCACAGCTGCTGTGGGGATTAACCAAGGGCCTCAGAACCAAGGGCCGCCGATCCCGCCCCCATCCCCCGATTGTTCAATGTTCTGCCATCCAAAGGGATGGTCGTAGGTCTAATGAGACTGGCTGACCCCATAAACGGGAACTTGAAAGAACTGGGGAAAATATCAAGAGTCAAGAGTGTCCAGAGAGTTGCCCATTAATAAACCAGAGCATCTGCTGACTCACTGCAAGGCGCTCCCATCATGGGGTCAGGGGTGGCCTCCAGGGGCCCAGAGCTCTGAGGATCATGATGGCAGTGATCCTGGGAATCTGGCAGCTTATGATCACCAGCATCAAGCTAAGCCTGCTGCAGGCCCAGCCTAGCCCATGTCGCCTGGTGTATCCCACCACCGCACACCCCTCTACTGGAGCTCCCCTGTTGGAACCACACCAGCCGAGCTCAGTGCCGACAAGGTCGAGGGTTTTCATCCTAGGTGCGGGTCCTGGTATGAACTTTTCAAAGCGAATCCTCTGCCGGTTAATTATTAAAGCTTCTGTGAAGCATTTTTCAGAAGCGGAGAGCACCTGGGCCAAGCCCTGCCCCTCGTTAAGACTGGTGTAAATCTGTGGTAACTCCAGTGACTGCAGCTGAGCCTCTGGCTCCACAGAGGCGGGACTGAGAGCAGAGCCTGTCCCTCTGCGCACATTGCAGGGCCGTGCGACTGATGTCAGCTGGCCCAGCTTTGCTGGAAGTGTGAGTCTGCAGGGGAAGGGGGAACGGGGCTATAGATAGAGCGTGGTTCTGACGTTTGTTGGAGCTTGTGATCTGCACTGATGGGAGGGAGGGAATCTTTGTTCAGGGTCAGCCCGGCGGGAGCCACTGGACAAGATCTTGCTTCTGTGCAAAGTGAGACTGAGGATTCCAGCCACTAGGCAGGGGCTGAAGGGCCACCAGAAAGGCCCTGTGTCTCTGAGTCTGGGGGAGGGGAAAGTCTGGGAAGCGGGGGAGCGGTACCTGGTTGGACTTGGAGTTTGGAGGGGGAGCAGAGGGACCCTTGGGGGAAGAGGAGAGGGGAGATTCTGGTGGAAGAAGAGAGGGGTACTTGTGAGGAAGGGGAACCTCCGGGGAAGAGGCAATGAGTATCTGGGGGGGGGAGGGCCTTGGGGGCAGATGTACTTGGCAGGAGGGGAGGAGATCATGGCTGAGTTTTGCCTGGTTAGGGACTGTCACGTGCTCCTGACCCTTGGGTCCCTGGTGCCATTTGCTAACGTCCCAGCACAGACAGAGCAGCAAGAGAATCTTCCATGCCCAGCGCAGCTCTCCAAGGAGCGTGGGGTGCGGGCGGCTAGACATGGCTGCCGCCCCATGTTCCCTGCTGCGCGGCTATAGTGTTGGGGGCTCATGGAAGCCTTTGGTCTGTAGAAGCTAAATACCAAGGTGACAGGCACTCCGAAATCCCATAGAGAGGTGGGGGCCAGCTCTGGAGAAGGGCTGGTAGCAGCGATAGCGAGTGAAGGGCCAGCCCATGGAAAACTGAAGCCTCAGATACCTTGTTCCTGGTGGGCGCTGGGGTGGAGTTTCCCAGCTTTACCAGCCCATGTTTACACACTGAGCGGAGAGGGACAGTGGGAAAGATCCTTCCCCTTTAAATATCCCCCCAGTCTGGCCAGGAGGGCTTTAGGACAGCGGTGCCAGATCCTCCAAGGAGCAGAGTCTGCAATTGTGGGGTGGGCATGTCCTAGTTAGAAGCCACGAGGTTCCCTCTCTTTGTGGCTGCTGGGGTCCGGCGGCTTCTGGGCAGGAATAATCACCTTGCTCATCACCTGGAAGGTTTGTCTCAACCTGCCTCAGTGCACAAGCCCCTGCCCAGCCCCTTAGCTGCATCCCCAGGCCTGTGCACCCAGCTGCGGCAGGCACGCAGCACCGTGACCCAATTCCCTCCTCCCTGCATATCTGTTTAGGTGGCTGAACTGGAGCTGCAGAGAGCCCATGATTCCTCCAGTGAGGGTAGCAAGGAGGAGCTGAACCAGACGCTGGAGGAGCTGGAGCTGCTGATCAAGGCTAAAGACGAGGTAACAGCAGTGGAGCAGATGAGAGCACAGAGCAGCGGCTGAATGACCGCAGTGCCCCAAGGGAGTGAATCTTGGCCTGTCGTTGCCACACCCCACAATGCTACCCTCTATCTCTCCCCTCCTCCCTGGCCTGTGGGACCCCCCTGGTCCGCTCCCGCCGCTCTCAGAGCGAGTTCTGTCCCGGGCCCAGGGAGAAGAGCATGGAGTCCTGTGTTCGTGCTCAGATAATGACCCCCAGATGGGTGAGTGAGAACTCTGTTCTGTGGCACTGGGCCAGATCTTACTGGGCCAGCCCCAGCCTCCATAACGTTGGACGGTTTCCTGCCCTTTAGCAAACCCCTGCCGTTTCCCCCACCCCCTGTTGGCTTTGTGCCCATCACTCTACCTCTCTCCAGCGAACGTAGCAGCTGTTGGGGCTACACTTCGCTGGTTAGTCTGGGGAGCAGATGTCTGTCGGGGCCCTGGGGCCCCAAGATGCTTCCTGAAGCATGTTCTGCTTCCTCTGTGCAGAGTGGTGCGAAAAGCCCCTGCGTAAGGGAGGACAGTTTCCCAAGGGAGAAGAGGGTCACAGGTCAGCACTGGAGGGGCCCCGTGTGGCCTCCTGGCCTGCTCACAAAAGAGGATTGAGGCTAAATAGGTGTGAAGCCTGAGAGTCCCCATGTGAAGGCTCCTGGTCCCAGGCCAGGGCATCAGACAGCCCCTGCCTCACCCCTCCCATGACAGCCTCTGGTGTAGCTGGTTCAGCTGCAGATGGCACAGCCTGCCCCACATGCCCGCCCCTCTTCTCAGCAGCTATGTTTAACCTCTGGCCTAGTTATTGCTTCTTGCTTTCACAGCATGTACATTAATGATTGAAAGCAGAGCTTTAATTACAGGGGCTGGGGGAAGGGAGATGTGGAGAGAGTCTCTGGGCTTTGTTCATTTGCACCTTCTTCCCTAGCTGTGCCAAGCGGGTGGGTGGGAGCGCCGGGGGATGCTCCTGGCAAGGGGTGGGGGTGGGAGTTTGTTCTGCAGATTGTTCAGTGTGTGTCTGGAGCGAGAGCTCCGTCTGCCCCCATCACCTGCCGAGAAGAAAGGGGAAAGGCCGTGGTGTGAGGGGTACGCGGGGAGGCCTTGCCCCTGGAGTCAAGCCGAGCCAGGAGTCTAAGATGCAGTGGGAGCAAGAGGAGGTGGCGTGCAAGCAGAGGGCAGGCGGAGGGGTTAATCTGCTCTTTGTTTTGTTAAGACCTAAGGCTCCTGGGCTAGTGGGGGCCGGAGGAAAGGGTGGGCAATAGGCAGGCAGGATCAGGAGGGGGCGGCACAGACAAGGCCTGGGTGTGAGCACTGGAGCAGGACACTGTGGGTGCATCTACATCTCCAACCGTGGGAGACAGACTCACCCTAACAGGACTTGGTTGGGTGGCAGCTCATGCTCCTAGCCAGGCCCCAGGCTTGAGAGCCCAAGCTCCAGCCCCAGCTGCACCATCTGCACTGGGATTTCTAGTGGGCCAGTTCTGTTCCCCTTGCTGCAGTGTAGACGTGCCCTGTGGGGGTGGTCAGACAAGCAGCATGGGCTAAGCCAGGAGGGCTGGGGGTGGAGGGCCTGGAGCCAGGGAACCTGGCTTTGGCCATAGTCAGGGGAGGGTTGAGGGGGCTGCGTACCTGTATCCCCTGTGGTGGGGTGTTAGCACAACGTGGCATCGGTCTCCTGGCTTGGCATGGCCTATGACCGCGGAGGCTGCATCAGAAGCGATGGCTCAGGGAGCACGGGGCTGGCCCAGGCAGTGATTATTTTCCTTTCTGTGATTCAGGAAATTCAGCAGCTGAAGAGCCAGAAGAGCAGCCAGTGGGAGACGGAGGGGGAGCGCGAGGAAATGCTGCAGAAGCTGCAGGTGACAGAGGGGAGGTTGGCCGGGGAGATCCCGTCTAGAATGGCAGGTCTGGGGACAGCACTCCGCTGTCTGGACTGATCCATCGTGATGCACCATTAAAGACCGGGGGACGGCCGGCACCACCGTCCCAGCTACACCCCTCTCCCCTGTGCCCGAGAGGGTGCAGGTCTGGGGTTCTCACTCTGCTTCCAGCCGAACTAGGCTGGGCTCCCCCTTTCCTCTTTCTGCAGAGCTGCTGACAGGGGAATGATTTCCCCAGCCGTGGTCAGCAAGGGGACCCCATCCTGTCTGTTTCTGGGGTGCTGCTGGGCAACAGGATTGGGATGTACTTCCTTCTCCCCTCCCTCCCACGCCCCACAGAATGGCAGTCACACCCAGCACATGCACACACCCAGCGTGAACTGAGAAGATAACGAACCCTCTCTGCGTATCACATTTCCCCCAGAGCCTGATGCGTCCTGCTGGACATGCAGCTGGGGCGGGGCGGTGCCTTGTAACCCTCCATCCCCAGGCAGCCCTCACTGGCTGGGCCCCATTTTGGGCAGAGGATGCTCCCCGCCTGCGGGAAGGGGAGCTGGAGAGTCTCTTGCCAGCTGACCCCCTCGGGGGTGGAGCTCTGACTCCAGCGGGTTCACAGGGGAGGGCAGGCAAAGAGGGATGCAAGCTGCTCTGTACCCCTAGGCAGAAAGCAGATGGCAGCTCTCTCAATCCATCTATCCAGGCTCCGAGAGGGCTGCCTGCTTCTGCCCGTCAGGGACCACTGGGGCCTGGGACTCTGATACAGGCTCTGCTCACAACACAGGACTCTGGTTTTATGAGGCAAAGAATATATTCAAGCATCGTCCTGCACAGTGACCGGGTGCTGGGTGTGGGGTGGAGACAGACCGACGTGCTCTTATCCTAGGCCTGCAGCTCCAAGCCTGGACAGAGGCCAGGAGAAGAGAGTTTCTGCTGGGCCTGTGGACAGCTCTGGCATTGCATCTCCAGACGCTGGTCCAATTAGATGGCTGACGTGTGGAAGACCTGAGCTCCCAGACTCCTGCCACGTGCAGTGTGCAGCAGGGTGATGCTCAGACCACACAGGCCAGGGGGGTCAAGCCCAGGTATCAAGAGGTGAACTCCAGCCAGAGCTGCTGGGGCAAGTTCAGCAATGGGATCAATAAAGGAATGTGTTTTCCGTGCACGTGTGAGAAGGGCCGTGGCAGGGGATTGTCCACATGGGTATGTGATGAGTAGGGGTGAGGACATGGGCATCTGTGCTGGCGTAGGGGATAACCTCTCTGTGTGTGTCAGTGGAAGGGCACAGGTGTAGAGAACAGGCAGGGTGTGTGTGCGCACTGGTGTTCAGGTGCAGGGGTAGCTGCTGTGTGTGTGTATTGGCTGGGGGGGGGTGCAGTTAAGGTGGAGGGGTAGCTGCCGTGTGTGTGTTGCTGGAGGGGGGTGCGGTTAAGGTGGAGGGGTAGCTGCCGTGTGTGTGTTGCTGGAGGGGGTGTTAAGGTGGGGGTGTGGTGTGTTGCTGGAGGGGGGTGCGGTTAAGGTGGAGGGGTAGCTGCCGTGTGTGTGTTGCTGGAGGGGGGGTGCGGTTAAGGTGGAGGGGTAGCTGCCGTGTGTGTGTTGCTGGAGGGGGGTGCGGTTAAGGTGGAGGGGTAGCTGCCGTGTGTGTGTTGCTGGAGGGGGGTGCGGTTAAGGTGGAGGGGTAGCTGCTTCATTGTCCTTTTATTTACTGAGTCTTTGCATCCCTGGCCAGGAGCTGGAGGGACGCAACGCGGAGCTGGAGCGAGGTTTGCATGTGGCTGAGCAAACCCTGGCCGAGCAGCTGGCCGAGAGGGAGAAGATGCAGGGCGAAGTCACCAAGGTGGGCGAGCTAATGGATGTGAAGATATTTGAGCTCAGCGAGCTCCGGCAGGGACTTGCCAAGCTGGTGGAAAGCAACTGAGCAGCCTGGCCACAGAGACACCTTCCGGGAGGGGCAGAGCCCAGCTGGGGCCAGTCGCAAACTGCAGCAGGGCCGTGGAATTGTGACCTGGGCGGCGTCCAGCCACAAACCAACAGCCCCCTGCAACTGTGTGTGGAGACTGGCCAGAGCTGCCTCCTGTGCATTGAGGGCAGACGTGGTGCCAGTGGGCAGCTGAACTGTGGGGGGTTTCCACCCAAGGAGCGTCCATGAGTCATGTCCAGACCTCTCTGGATCCTGCCCGGCGGCGTGGTCCAGAGGTGACAGGGTCTCCCCATGCTGCTCAATGACATTACTCTCCTAGCCTCACTCACTAACGCATTTCCCCGACATCTTTACAGAAGGAAACACTCCTATTCTAGAGACAGGGGTCACCTGCCTGCCCATTTTTCAGTAGTTTTATAGGGAACCGCTTGCTTCTTGTGAACCAAACTGCCTGGCTCCTCCTTCCAGGCCCCAGGAGGCGAAGGCCCATCACACCATGGGCGGTAGCTGCTCCTTCTCCCCCTTCCCAACCGTACTCATGTCCCATCTTTTTAATAGACTCTGATCACTTTTTATTCACTGTCAGGGGCTTCCAGGACCCCCATGGGCAGGAACGGCTCCTCACCTGGCCCCATTCCTCTGTGGCTGCCCAGTCATACCCTCCAGAGGGGAATAAGTTGCAGGATTTCAAGATGTTTTTTATTTTAAGGCAGTGGGTTTTCGTACTTTCCAAAGCTGCTTTAAGCTGGGAGAAGCAGGCAGTGCTGGGGAGATTAGGGTTTGAGAAACAGGATAGCTTGGGGGGGGGGGGGCATCTGTCCAGGCTCCAAGGGCTGTCACTCACCTGAGTTAAACGCAGGAAATCCCAGGTGCTCTTGTTGCCTCTTGGGAAGCGTGGTCCAGGGATATAGCAGCCACACGAGCCACATGGCCTCTGGAGGGTGCAGGCCCCCATGCTACGCTCCACCTTGAGCTGCATAGCTGGATGCAGCTAGGACGCTGGCTGTTTGGAGCACATTGGGCCTGGGTTCCCTAGGGGCTGCGGGACATTTGTGGGTCCTTATGGATGTTGCCAAATGATGTAAATCCAACAAGGCCTGTAGGAGGAGGGTCTGTTACACCCCTCCACCCCCCCCCCCAGGCCCTGTGGAGCCCACTAGTTGCGTAGTAGCATGTTTAGCCTGTGTCTAATGAGGAAGCAGCGTGTGTAGACGTAGCCGGTTACCCAGAGGGTCCAGGGCCGGGTCTGTTTTTTATTTTTCTCCTTGCTGCCATAGGTGTAGTGTAGACAGACATAACTGGAGAATGTTTCCATGGGCTTGTAGAGATGCTGCAGAATCTGCCTAAAACTCCAGCAACCCCAGCAGCCAAATCCTGCCTTCTGCCCACAGGGTCAGATCCTCTGTCTGCGTGTACCTGGGTGAAAAGCATAACTCAGGTGGGGCTGAGCCGCCTCTCGCTCATGCCCCCAGCACGAGAAGAGGTTTCAGTGTGAAGCTGATGTGAAGGGAAGTGATTGCTCTGATTTCAGTGGATCTGCCATTGCACCTAACTGCCTCAGGGCTCCCTTGAACCCCAGCCCCTGCTTACCCCTGTGTAACTGAGACAGGCATTTGGCCTGTTGCTTTCCGTAAGGGCAGGAGCAGGTGCCAGGGAGATCCTGAAGTAGGTGTCTAGGTTAGGCTGGCCCCCTCCCTCTCTTTCAAAGCTTAGGAGTTGTGGGGAAATGTAGATTTCTGAACCTGTGCAGCCAGGAGAATTTTTTTGCATGAGCTGCTCCCACGCCTGTGTGGGGGCTAGAGCTAGCTGTAACGTGTGCCGCCCGCAGGGTGTTCACTGTGTGTGTGGGGGGAGACAAGAATGGCCGGGGGTACATGCAGCGCTGGGTTCCGGGTCCGGAGGCAACCGTGGCCCCCTTGGAAAATAAGAGATCAGCCGCAGGAAAGGTGCATTCACTCTGGTTCCGCTAGCGGCACTGGGTTAAGGAGGCATCTCCTCTTCATGTTGTCAGCCGCTCACCCACCCCCGGGTCCTGTCTGTGTCTCACACCACATGCAAACTACCTGGAGAAGGGGCATGTTAAAGGGACTAGGTCTGACTTCCCACCACTATGTCCTCCATGTCTCCCCACCCAGCCTCTCGCTACTGTGTAGCCGGTGGCGAGATTGGAGTTTCCCAGCAATCGGGGCGGGCTGAACTGGCTTGAGCAACATCCCAGGCTGAATCAGCTCCCTCAAGCTGAAAGACGAGGAGGTGGCAAGTGGAGCAGGACTGATTCTGAGTGGGAATGGAGCTGACACAAGCCACAGCACGGCGCTCAGCTGAGACTGCGGCTCTGCCCGGTTCCCACCTGCCTTGCTCACCTGTGCGCTTGCTAGCCCAGACTTGTTGCTGGCAGCAGCACTGTCACTAGCCAGGGTTTGTAATGACCCTTTACATCTCGCAAGCACAGCCCCAGTCGCTCCCGGTGTAACACCCTCAGCCCCCCAGCAGAGGCTAATTTGGCTCATTGACTGACTGAAGTCGGGAGTGTGGCAAGGGCTCCAGTCACGCAGTGATGTTACAAACACACCGCCAGGAGCCATGTGCATGGCAAACCCTGAGCGCCAGCCTGCACTTGGCTTAGCTTTCCCCTCCAAGCACGGCGCAGGAGTCATTTGTCTCAGGCTCACACTCCAGCCAGGACCTGATTGGCTCCGGCCTGCTTCCCTCGGCCGCAGCTGCTGCTGCTTTCCTTCCTCTGTCCTGCAGAGATGCAGCGCCATGCACTGAGTCACCACGCCTCCGCATCCAGCTGTGTCACGGGGAGCCAGGACACCGAAGAGCTGGGCATGGTGAGTCATGGCCAAGGAGCTGGCCGAAGGCAGGAAGGGGCAGGCTCTGCCCTGTCTGCCTGTGAGGGGACGGGAGAATAGGGCCCTAGAACTTGTTAGCTTGCTGATTTAAAACCATGCGATGTTAAGGCTGGGCCCTGAACCAACCAAATCTATTCTGGGGGCCGAGTCCCCATTGTACTACCATACCCCCGCAAGAGCCTGAGGCTCTCAGACACGAGGCTCCAGTTTAAACAAGGCAGGTTAACAGAAAACCCCTCATGCTCCATGTAAGGACACACCCCACGCTCCTCGACTGCCAGGAGCTGATGGGGCACAGCCCCTAGTCATGACCCAGCAGCAAGATGATGATCCCATGAAAGGCAGGCCACCAACATGCAAACATGCATGGTTTGATTGAATGCTGCCCCTCCGGGGCTGACAAGGCAGAGGGCAATGGGGCAGGGCATGGCGCCCCCTCCTGGGGTTAGCCAGCTCATCTCCATCTGATCTCATTGAGTGGGCAGTGCCTGGCCCTGGTTTGGAGGCCTGAGCAGAGTCGGAGGCATCTCACTGCCTGGCGAAGGCACCTCTTCTGGTGCGGCATTGCCCAAGAGCGGCTGGCTACACCCAGGGTCCCAGCACAAGTCCCTGCCAAGCCTGGCTCAGCCCCATGCTGCTGTGGGCGAGGCCCCGGGCTGGCATGTGATGCTGAAACAGCCCCAGCCCCACCTGCCTTCCAAGACCTCTCCGCTGCTCGTGCCCCGTCCAGCGATCCAATCCAGGACGTAGCACCGCTGCACGGGAGCAACCGGGGCTCCCGCCGCACGGCCCAGACCAGGGCAAGGGGCTGGGGCTCGTTGGAGTGGGGTGTTCCCTCGGGGCTGGTGGGGAGCAGAAAGCCCGGAGCTGCAGCTGTTAGAAAGAGCTCAGTGGGTTTCCACACGACCAGCGTACATTTTGGCCATGACATCACGACCCACTTCCTCACCTGCTCCTGGGAACACCCCTGCCTCACAGACCCTGTGGGACGGACCTGTCAGCATCCTGGTGGGGCAGGCCTGGGACCGCACTGCCCCCAGAGAAATGAGCAACCCCAGGGTGCCAGTTCTCCCTTGCTGTGACACTTGTGAGCATGGCCCAGTCACACACGCCCCATGAACCGATTTACTTCCTCTCAATCTAATTCTCTAGCCGTGGACGCCTCTGGCTGAGTTGCCCAACTGCCTCCTCACTAGGGCACGTCCGCAGCCTGTGCTCCTGCCCTTGTCTGCCTGGGGGCCAGCAGGGTTTTGGGGGGCCGGGGGGGGGGCATGTGGCGCACTGTACAGTCGACCTTGGCCAGCCTGTGCTAGGACACTCTGCCCTCCAGGTGTTCAGGACCCAGCGAGAGCGCAAGCCAGTTTCCGTTACACTCTCATTTCCCCACGGGTGCTATTTGCAATTGCCAGAGTAATCTGGAAGAGCAGCTTTTCAATCTGCTCTGCCCTGTCGCCCCTGTTCATTAAAAGCCTTTTACCGAGGCAGTGCAGGGCCAGCACGGGCTGGATGACTCTGGAGCGCCTCTCCCTTTGCAATCCTCGGCTCTTCCAAACCAACAAATCCCATTTATCACCAGCTAGTTCCAGAAAGGCCCTAAATCCAGAGGAGGCAGCCGCATGGCAGCTGGGTGCAGCAAAGCACAGCGTGGCTCCACCCCACTCAGATGAAGCACTGACTCCGGGATCTGTTAAGACAGCCCACTCCTAACACCAACCCACACTTCCCAGGCCTGGGAAGCGCTCCCATTTCAGCACCCACGAGAAACCCGAGGGGGTTCCCCCAGACTTCCGTCTTCATCACTTTAAAATCACTTCCTTATGCAAACAGCAGCCGGTGAACTGCAACGCGGCCGCTTTTATTGTTGCTTCTCTCGCCCACTGGCAATTATTGTCAAGCAGCCCAATAACAGGGGCTTTGCTGCTGGCAGGAGTAATTCTGCTGACTGCAGATAACTCAGTACGTTTGATGCATCTGCCGGCAAATGGGCTTCTTAATTATTTAGGAGGCAATGCATGTAAAGCACAGCCTGAGCAGTGATTGGGGTGGGGGGGCTGTTTGTATGTGAGATTAGCCTGGGAAAAACAGTCTTCAGGGTCTTCACACCTAAAGATCGGGGCTGGGCTTCCCCCAGGTAATTCACTGAGCAGCTCCCACTGAATGTGGGGGGGTTTGGATACCAGACTCCCACAAAGTCCCAGTCTTGGGCAGCTGCCTGGTTTTCAGATCTCCCACTAGGTTCTGAGGTGCTAGGTTTGGAGCCCTTCCCTCCCCGCCCCCATCCCAACTCACCCGCCTGGAAGAGTTCTGAGTGAAATGGTTACATTTGTGGAACAAAGAGCCGCTGTGTGATTCGTCTTTCTGAGACACGGTTGTGCAGCCGCAAAGGGCAGTGGAGGGGAGAGCAGCCGCTTCAAGAGGTCAGACGAGCGGTTGGCAGGTGGTTTGCTAATGCCCCACATTCTGAATTCTCTCTCACAGTCTGATCTTACCCTCGTTTTAAGATGTGTTCAGAGGAAGGCCACAGTCCCCCAAGGCTCCTCCAGCCCCTTGCACAAGCATCTCACGACTAGCAGGTTGCTGGATCAGATGTGCTGCAGTTGGGAGTCTTGGTCGCTGCCCGGAAGCGATGCACAGTGCGAGTCTCTCATGCCCGTCTGTTTGGGTGCAGGAATCAATACAGAGAAGCCTTCTGGCCTGTGTGATACAGGAGGTCAGACTAGGTGATTGAACTGGTCCCTTCTGGCCTCAGAATCTACACCTGGCCTAGCCCGAGGGACATCCAGTTTGTCACTCTGGGGGACAGCAAGCAGGAACCCTCAGCAAAAGGACATTCCCCCACTGGAGCACATCCTACAGCAATGTCAATGCAGCGTGCCCACGGTGCACACACAGCCTGGGCACCTCAGTCTGGCACTGCAGCTGGCCACAGCTCAGAATAGCGGACAGGACTCCTAACCACTCCGCCACTGACTCATTCTGCAACCGTGGGCGAGTCATTTAATCCTCTCTAGGCTTCACTTTCCCAAGCTGTACAAAGGGGCTAATCGTCCCCCAGGGGCACTGTGGCATGCTTGGTGATCCGCGAGGGACATGGCTCTGGCCGGGCACAAGTGTCAGAACACCTCACCCATGAATGTGATTTACCAGAAGGAACAAAAGGTTTATGTTCCCAGCAATGCCCTGCACCCGTGACCAGGCAATGACCCAGCCTAGCAACCCCATTGCATAGGCCCTTGTGGCACAAATCCTTTAGCAACTCCATGTTGGGCCTGCGTTAGTGTGACCATGGGATGCTCCGATTGAATCCTGGAATCAGGTGAGGGGGCCCAGCTGGGATTAACCTGCCAAGGGAGCTGCAGCTGGGTGACTAAACAGCATCACTGATGGTGACCCAGCCCCCTCCCCCGTCAGGGCTGGAGAGATCAGCTGATCTGCCTCTGAGGACGTGGGTTATTTTTAGTTTTGGAGCTGGTCTGTTTACACTTCACAGCTAGGGGGAAAGTTCCCAGTTTAAAGCCTCCGCCCTCCCCCTCCGTCCCCCCCCAGGAGGACAATGGGCTGAGAGGAGGCAGTTAAATGTGCATATTGGAAAATGTTCAGATACACACAATAAAAGCAGAGCCTCCGGCGAGGTTTGCCATCCCCTTTCCCGCAGTAATTTGTGATTATTACTCCTGTTCTTCTCTGGCACACGCCGGCTGTTTCTGCTCACGGGACATGGCAAGACCGTGAGCTGTGGGGACAATTAGTCACGCAAGCCCTGCTCTTCTCCTCTGCCCATGGCCAGCTCCTTGCACCCCCTACTGGGAACAGCAGGCTCCAGTTCTCACAAGAGCCCCCCTTGCAATGGGAGTATGAGTAGCAGCTGGAACAGGAGAGCTGATGTTAACAGCCCAGCAGGCTGCTCACACAGCAGGACACAGCCCCCCGGGAAACACCGCGGCATCCCAGCTGATGGGTACCGGTGTGATCCGCTGCTCCCCCCGGGCCGATCTGCAGAGGCCTGAGTAGCCTGGTGCTGGATCTGTTCCCCCCGCCATGTGCACCCTACTCGGACGTCACTAATGTTTGCAGCCATGGAAAGTTATGATCAAGAACAGGCAGGGCCTGCTTCTATCCCCGCCACCTCCATCCGCAGCCTCGTCTTTAGCTCTGCTAGGCCATCAGCACCCAGGGGACACACCCCCTCTGCTGGGTGGCTGCCCAGCCAGGCTCGCACTAGCCATCATTGCCCATCAGAGCAGCTCTCGAGCCCTGCAGGACCTGCCAGGACAGACGGGGAGCTAAAGCAGAGGCACACCGGGGGAGGCTCATCCCTTTCGCAAGGGCTGGAGCCTGCACGCCTCCTCCCGGCAAGACTCCGTGCTCCAGAGGAAGCAACAAGGCTGCACTATCAGGCCACATCACCAGCTGCTCACGGCAGGAATAATCTGTCTAAGTGCTGGGAGCCGTACAGGTGAGAGAGGCCGAGCCCTGCCTAGTAACAACTGGGCTGCTTCTGTCAGTCAAGCTAACTGCCTTTCACTTCCCAGCAGGCAAAGAAGATGCAACAAAGGCAGGAGGTGGGAGAAACACTGCTTCTCTCCAGTACTGATTACTCGCACCGGGGCCACCCTGCTGGCAGTTATTAACGGCTTGGCCTCAGTGTGAGGCTGTGGGTGGATGGAGGCAGGGGCTGCTGCTCTGCTCTCATGCAGTGGCAGGCCTGCAAATGGATTGTTTAATGCTGCTGGATGCGGGTGACGGTGGGGAGCAGGTCCGTCAGACTAAGGCCTCAGTACTGGGGTTTAAGGGTGGACGTTAGCCCAGCACAAAGGGCCGTTGCAGAGATTGGGGAGGTTACGGCGGAGGAGTGCGTTCGGGCTGGCAGCATGCAACAGTCACCTCCACCAGAGAGGGCCAAATGCTCTTCGTCTGGCCAAGTCCCACTCCCTTTCCGGCAGCAGATGGGACACAGAAGGTCAATGGCCTCATCTCAGCCCTGCAGCCAGCCTCCTGCAGAGAATCCAGGTGCTCCTTCAACCCAAGAAGAGATCAGCTGCCTACTTGTCCAAGGCCTTCCCTCTGCCAATGGTAACAGGCTGCTCAAAGAGCCGGCCTCAGCCATGGTGTTGGGCCTGGAGGGACGAGAGGGAGCACGGGCACAGGTGGAAGGATGGGCCTGAGAGTGGACCCATAGGCTCTATTCAGTGGTGAGCTGGAGCCAGTTCGCAGTTAGAACCGGTTGTTAAATTTAGAAGCCCCTTTAGAACCGGTTGTCCCGCGAGGGAGACAACTGCGGCCTGGTCAGCAGCAGTCACTAGGTGGCAGCTCTGGTGTTCTCCGGCCGCGCCCTGCAGCTGGCTCTGGCCAGCCCTGGTGCAAAGGGCCCCTTGGCTGGGCCCCGGCAGGTGAAGCTGGGCGGAGGGGGGCTGCCCTGGGTGCAGTGGGGGGCAGATGGGGCTGAGGCAGCAGCACGGTTGCCCCCGCGTCCAGTGCTGCCCGCGCTGTGCTCTGGAGTTAGATTCAGCGTGGCTCGTCTGGCCTCCTTTCTGTTCCCTTCTCTGCTGCGGGTTGGATGGGCTTCTGCTCCCCCCCGGCAGCAGTGACCCCTGTAGCACCCTGCCAGGCAGGCTTGGCTCTGTCTGCTGAGGGCAGTTCCTCCCCCACATGCCCCCTTGGGGCGTCTCTGCTCCAATCTCCCTGCTGCACCTTCGACCCTCTGGCCTCCTGTCTGGGATGAACGGGCCGGCTGGGCCCTGGCTCTGGCCCCCTTACAGCAACTTGGTCTTCACTGTGCCCAACACATCTGGCCTCTTCACATCCCATCCCCCCCCTCCAGCCCCGCTGTCACCCCTGTCCATTAAACAGCCCCCCCAGGCACCAGACCAGAGCCTACAGAGGAGTCATAGGGTGGGTGTGTTTGCCTGGGGGGGAGGGGGGGTCTTTCTTTTGTGCTGCAATTCTTCCCTGCTTAAATCCTCCCTCGTGCTTGCTGCATTAGCAGCTGCCTCTCCTGTGGACTTGTCCCTGTTGCCTCTGGGAGGGAGAGTGACTGTGAAGGAAGCAGGTGGTCGGGACCCTGCTCCCCCCTTACCGTGTGTAAATCGAAGCCGAGGCTCAATTCCTTCCATGCGGGCAGGGGGGCCCTGTGGCAGGTCGCCCCCATCCCTTCTGCTGTATGCAGGCCGAGGCGAAAGGCTTCATGCATCAGCACTGGGTCGGGGGGGAGCTCTGGAGCGAAATCCAGGCGGTCGCAGAGAAGGTTGGTTTGTTCCAGTTCAGGGAGCCCGCGTCCCTCTGCCCATCAGTCGCTTTCCAGCTGCGAATGGCCAAGCTCGCTCCGTCCAGCCGCCCGCCCCCTTGATGTAGTGGTTGGAGCAGGTGCCGTAGTGGTGCCCCGTGCAGCGGGTGCTGCGTGCGCCTTGCCCCACTGCGCTGAAGGCAGAGTCAGGGACTCGCCCACAGGGTCACAGCAGGTTGGTGGCCGAGCCCGGGGAATAGAACCAGTGATGAGCTGCCAAAATCTTAACAACCAGTTCCCTCCCCATCCCCACGAGGGGTTCATGGCCCACCCCCGCCCCCCGGGGACTCCTGCCCCATCCAACCCCCTCCCCTGTCCCCTGACTGCCCCCAGAACTGGGCAGGAGGGTCTCGTGGGCCACTGTAGTGGGTGCCCGCCCCGCCCCTAAGAGCCAGAGGCACCTGCCGGGGGGCGAGGTGGGGAGTCCTGGCGGTGCCTACCTGGGGCAACTCCCAGGAAGCATCCGGCAGGTCCCTCTGGCTCCTAGGGGCGGGGGGGCATAGCTGGGGGGGAGCAGGGGGAGCGGCCGCTCCCCCACTGATCACATCAAAAGTGACGCCTTAGGCGCCGACTCCCTGGGTGCTCCGGGGCTGGAGCCCCCACGGGGAAAATTTGGTGGGTGCAGAGCCCCCACCGGCAGCTCTGCTCCGCTTCCTCCCCTGAACGCGCAGCCCCCGCCCCCTACCTTCCTGCGAATCAGCTGTTCGCACGGGAAGCCGGGGCGGGCTGAGAAGCAGGTGGCGGCTTCCCGCTCAGGCCCAGGGAGGCGGAGGGGAGCGGTTCCCCTGCCCTCCCCCCCCGGGGTTACCTGCTGCGGCGCGGGCAGCCCTCCTCACGTCCCCCCACCCTCCCCAGCTCCCCTCAGCTCCACCTCCCTGGGCCTGAGCGTGACGCCACCGCATGCTTCTCAGCCCTGCCCAGCTTCCCGCACGAATGGCTGATTCGCGGGGGGGGGGGGGGGGGGGGGCGGAGACGCAGAGCGGGGCGGCGCGTTCGGGGGAGGAGACAGAGGTGAGGTGAGCTGGGGGCGGAGAGCTGCCGGTGGGGGTTCTGCACCCACCAAATTTTCCCCAGAGAAGGGACCCAGTAGGAGCCAAGAGTCACACTCAGGGGTTCTCTCGCAGAGCTTGGCTTGTGAAGTGCAAACAGCACCTGACCCCACCACTGCAGCTGGCCCTGCGGGAACGGGCAGGCCGCATGCCAGCACGCAGAGCGGCGATCCACGCGAAAGCACCGGCCCTGGGTGCCAGACTGCAGCACCGGGCATGGGAGCAGCAGGAGCTCAGGGGCCAGCCCTGCGCAAAGCCGGCAAAACCCCGCCTGGTGCAGGACAGAGAGCAAGGCTGCCCCAAGCCGAACCCGACAGCGCTGGCGGGTAACACAGAAGCTGTGCGTTACTGCCCTCCGGCCAGCCGGGCTGGGTGGATCCTAGGGCCCAGAGCCAGGAATCACACACATGCCCACAGGACTGGGGGCTCTTCGGCTGGCCCCCACGGGGAACTGGGAGCTGAAGACGAGCTGGGGCAGGAACACACAGGTCCAGGGCTTCACCCCGAGCGTTTCACTAGAGCGCTCCTGCCTCCCGGCGCTGCTCCCGCAGCGAGAGGCTGGAGTCCGCTGGCTGACACCCGCAGGATGCGGCTCACTCAGGATAGACCAGGGCCACCGGCTCACCTGGATCCAACCACTGGCCACCAAGCCCTGTCCCCTGCTTCCTCCCTCACCCTTCTTCCCCATCCTGCAGACATGGCCAGGCCCAGGGGGCTCCATTTTAACCCACTGGGGGCCCCAGTGCCACATGTGAACCCCTCACCCGACCAGCGTTGGCAGCCGGGAGCAGAGGGGGTGGGGGAAGGGAAGAGGGCCTGCTCCATGCCCAGAAAAGGGCCTCAGAGAACCGCTCCAGGCTCGCCCAGCCTCAGGGACTGACACCAGGCCAGACACACCCAGCGTGGCCGTGGTAAGGCAGGAGGTTTCTGCAGAGGCGGTGCAGGCTGCGTGTCGCCCGGAGTCTGTGGGGAGCACCCCCAGCGCACGCTGCTCCGCACGAGCCACGCCCCCCTTTGCCTGCCTGCTCCAGAGGTTTGAAATGCTGAACCGGGCTCAGTCTCCATAGCAACCAAACCAGGGAAGCCCTCCAAGAGGTGGGGGCGCAGAGCTGGGGTTGAGAGAGTGAAAAGAATTGAGTGTGCAAAGCACGTGGGAGACGCGCGGCAGCCTGGACTGGAGCCGGAGAGGGAGAGAAACGGGGGTGAGGGGGGCGAGAAGAGCACTGGAAAGTCGTCCCAAGCTGGCCCAGATCTGTGATGCGGCCACTCCCCAGCTGGGGATTCGGGGCGCTCTCAGTCACAGCACCGTCAGCGTGTTCAGTGCCCGGAGGAAGGAGGGTCTCGTGACTAAGGCACTACCCACCCCATGGCAGAATGCTGCCAGCAGGGCCCCCGCCGTGCCTCCACCCCTCCCCAACACTGACACCATTCCAGTCTTGAGCGAGACACCTGCCCTGATCTCACTGCACGAGGCTCTTGTACCCCCACTGAGGCAGCCTGTTGGCCTGAGAACCCTACGAGCCGCTGTTCAATGCAGGCTCCGGACACAGCCCCAGGGCAAGACCCCGAAGGGTGCAAGACCCTGCTGGGAGACAGGTGGAGGAGGGCTGATGAAAGCAGCTTTCAAGCCAGGGAGGGAGGGGAGACGGAAGAATCGGACTGAGACTGTAAGCGCATTTCGCAGAGGCCACTGACCGTCACCAGGTAAGGTGCTTTCTGTGGGCCTAGTTGAGAAAGCCCCATTCCCAGCCCCCGAGACATGCAGCTCCCCCCTCTCCTACCCAGCCATTCCTAGCCAGGCTGCATGGAGAGTTGACTCTACACTGACTGCTTGGGAGGGCTCGTTTCCCACACATGCCCTGATTCTCAGAGGAGCCGGAGGGATTGAAAAGAAGGCTGAATAAAGCGCCAAGACAAAAATCCATGATCAAACCCCGCAGTCACAGGGTGCTGGAGGAAGATGAAGAAAGACGTGCTCAGCAAAGAGACTTCAGAAGGCAGAGCAAGGAGTCTGAGAGGGGAGGGGAACCGCCGAGAGAGAGACGACACAAAGGCAGCATCAAAGCCCTCACCAGAGCTGCCTGTCCCAGGGAGGAGCCTCATTAATCTTGTGCTGACGGGTTTGCTGGGGAAATCAGCACACATGGGGCTGGGGGAGCATTTCGTATTCAGAGAGCAATCAGCACGGTTCCAATAGCCGCCAGAGTCCGCGAGTCACCCTGTCTACAAGGCAGGGCCTCGAGTTCCTCTCCCTTCGCAGAGGAGCCAAGCAAGGGTGGCCGCACAATTCAGACACCTCCTGATGGCCAGGCTGGCCCACACCTCTCTAGCCACATGGCCCCAGTCATCCAGCCAGACACCCAAGCTCCTCTGGGTGCTGCCCATTCACATCGCCCCAGGTGGAGCTGCACCAATGGCTATGCGAGGCCCCTTTGTACCCAGAAGCAGAGGGCCCTAGGGATTCGCATGGCAAATCTGTGCCAGGATGGGTGTATGGACCCAGCTCTGCAGCAAGCGGGTTAGGATCCTCTCCCAGGGCAGAGAACAGGGCAGCCTCCCAAGGTGGCTGAGCTCACTGCCGAGACAAAGAGATCTGACTGAAGCAGGGCTCAGCTGGGGCGAGCGGCCAATGGGATAGAGGTTTCCAGAACCACTGCCCTGGCACCATGACAGCAGGCACGTGGTGCCAGGACCAGGGGACACTCTGGCTAGGAGAAACCTGTTCGCTATTTGGACCACGCCCCTGACACAAAACTGGGTGTTGCCCTCACTGCCTCTGGCCGCAAAGTTCCTGATCCAGCTTGATATGCCAGAGTAAAACCGACCCCTCATTCTGAGAGGTCCCTCAAGAGCAACAGCCCTTGGACAACACACCAGTCCCCTGAGCCCGGAGAGTCCAGACACCCAGTTATTTATTGCAAATAAATATTTCTTGGGGGCAGGGAAGATGCTAATTACAGAAAACATCCCCCATCACCAAAGTGGAAATAACTTCCCTCCTGATGGTCCCAGGCAACGGGAGCTGAGCTCTAGCCCAGCCAGGCAAAACTGGAAGCCTCCCACCATAGAGCTGCGACTAGTTCTGAGGCTCCAGAGGGAAGCACATTCCCTGATGGTGCCCCCACCGCACCATCCCTCGAGTTTAAAGTTTGTTGATTCTTGTGCACTTGGTCAAGTCTTCATGATGGGACATCCGGGGCCATTCTTGGTGCAAGAGTCACTTATTCACTGGGCAGGGTGCAACCCAGCAACATTTTGGATCAGCAGCATCCATTCCATGGAGTCTAATGCAGGTGTCAGGGCGGGAGGGAGCAGGATCCAAACTGCTGTGGGTTGTTTAGAGCGAAGGATGTTTGCTCCTGAGATGGCCAGGGAATCCTGTTCAGATGTGAATCAAAGACCTCTGAACTAGTCAAGTTGGATACTGGGATTGAAACCAGGCTCTGGGGAGGGAAACCTCCATTCTCGGAAGGGAAGAGGGGCCCGTGATGTTCATGTGGCTGACTGGGGCAGAGGGGGCTGGGGAGCGGTCTGGAGTTGCAAGTCAGGAGACAGATCTGAAATGAGTCTCAGAGGGGCCTCAGGATAAACAGGGTTCCGGTAACAGAGGTCACACAAATTAGGAGGAAGGGAAATTTTCACAAAACACACCAGACCAGCTTCCCTGATGGAGCCCCTCCCGTCTCTATTAGTTATTACCCTCTCAGAACACCAGCAGCCAAGCCAGGAAACCAGGGGCCAAGCTGACCTTGGCCCAGGGTTTTTAGACTCTGACTCAGGGAGAAGCTGCCAATGTAAACAAGAGGGAGTGGCAGGCACCAGCCCTGGGAAGGGAGGGAGCCCGTGAGAAACCGAGAATCGCCATGAGCAGGAGCAGTTCACCAAGGGATAAGAGTTTGGATCCCTCCTTTGTGTGTGGGGGCTGGGGGAACATGCCCTTAAGTGACACCCCTTGAGCCCCAACGAGCCCATGTCAGGCAGAAGGATGGGCCAAAGCAGCTGAGTCTCTGGAGGGGAGGGAGAAGGGAAGGGGTTACACCGGCAGAGCGATCCTCTCCCTTCAAACACCATCATCAAGTCAGAAGCTTCCACATCAACCCCCCACACATGGTCTCTAGGGGCTTGGAAGAACCTTGGGCAGCCCTGTCCCATGGGCAGCAGCTCCCACACTCCCAAGCTGTAAGTGCCTGGGGCT